GAAACTTGTTAGAGATGCATACTGCAGGGCCCACTGCAGACCCACGGAGCAGAAACTCTGGAAGGCAGCCCCACATCTGTATAGTCATGCCTGGGATCCCAACATTCTGAGAGGCTAAGACAGAAAGATCACAAGTTTGAGTCCAGTATGGGCAACTTAGTGACTTAGTGAGAACCCATCTCAAAAAAAATTTTTTTAATTGAAAAAGGTCTTTGGGTATTATCTCAGTGCAAAGTCCAAAGGCCATGGGTCTAATCCCTCACACTCCAAAAAACAGACAAAAAACCTTCCAGGTAACGATTGCATTATGGTTTTCATTTCAAGCTAACGTATCAAAACCATTGTTCCAACTGGTTTGTTATTGTTTGTTTGTTTTATTTTATTTTTTTGAGACAGGGTCTCACCATGTAGCTCAGACTGACCTTCAACCTGTTATGTAGTCCAGGCTGGCCTTGAACTGAAGGTGATCTTCCTGCCTCAGCCTCTGGAGTGCTGGAGTTACAGGTGTGCACAACCACTCCCAGCACCATTGTTCCAAAAAGTTATGGGGAACTGTAAAAAATATCCCACCATATCCCTAAGATTCCTATTCAAATACTGTTAAGTCCTTTTGACTACTTTCATTGTGAAATTAGAGTAGAAAAAATCACTAATCTAGTCCTGCCTATATATTATGAGATGAGGAGAGTACTGTCGAGTTTCAATACCCGGACAAGAACTCAGATCTTTGACTCCGAACTGAGTTCTCTCTCCCAGAAACAGTGCTAATGCTTGTGGTAAGGGATCCTAAATCCATTCTAGTACAGGCTTGCAATCCCTACAAAAGACTCCATTAGTTCCTTTATTACAGCGCTCAATTCTAGAGCCCTGATCCCATAGTTATTTTTTCTATATTCTTCATAGTGAAAAGGGAATGTTAAAAGACAGGACACATTAAAAACAAAACAAAGTTTAAAAAAATTAAAATGCCAATAGCTGGCCAGGGATATTAGCTCAGCAGCACAGCACCTGCCTGGCAAGCATGAGGTCATGAGTTCAATTCCTAGTACAAAAAAAAAAAAAGCCAATAGCTGTAAAATAAAAACAGGAGTCTCCCAAATATTTGCAAACTTATACACTCAATGCCAAATGTAAACATTTCAAAAGGGATTGTGAGCCACCTGTTTACCATTCGTGTCAGATTTCGCTGTACCCTTAAGGCTACCCAAAGTCAGGTAAGTCTATCAGGAAGTCACTTAGTTCTACTTCCTATCTCTTGACCACTTTTAGATTTTCTCCAATGGAAGATTTTCAGATTACTAAAGCCTGATTTCCAAGTAAAGACCTAAACCATTGTTCAGTGATCAAAATGTTGTGATAAATGGATTTTCCCTCATGACAACTCAAGCCTTTGCTCCAGCCTCGCTGGTGATGTGGTACAAAGTCACAACCCTCGTCTTTTGACCACTCCATATCCTTGAGGATAAGTGCCCTTGGTTCTCTCCTCTAACATATTTTGATCATATCCATTGAGCTCATATAGGTAACTGCTAGGCACAGCAGCAAATCATCTCTGCCACACTTAGTTTTGGTGTTCCAGTGATTCCTTTCTGAGTTCCTTTTAAAATGCAGATAGTAAGCCTTCCCCCAGATTTGATAATTTAGAGGCATTTAGGGTGATCTTTGACTTGCAGCATATGCTATTGGGTAGGTTTGCTGCAGCAAGCATCACAGCTTGACTTGGAACAATTAAAAAGTTACAAAATGCCTCAGGCTTGCAGAGTCTGAGGAACCCGGGCAGCGCTAGTAGGAACCGGGAGCAGGAAGAAATAGTCATCTTGGGTTCACTGGAACCCAAGTGATCAGTCTTTGTCCATTAGCACAAATCAGCTGTAGAGATCACTGAATCACGGAACAGACCTCAATGTGGCCAGCTCTCAGCCAGGGACAAGATTTTGCATACATTCACCATGTCTGCCCAAAACAGAAAAGGGGTAGTTCCTATAAAATCACAGGGCAGTCACCAAACGCTGGAGGATCCTCAGCAGGGAAACTCCGTCTCAGGTCTCTGCGAGATGGACAGAAGCATAGGGACCACACCTTATCTCTATATGCCTGGCATGTCGTAAACAAACATTTGTTCAGCAAATATTTGTTCACTGGAACCTGTGGAGACCTGATCACCAGCACATCTTACTGGACCTTCCTTCCTTCCACATCCCATCCACACCCCACTTGCACCACTATTATTGCCCAGCAGAACCTGGTGTTCAGCACTTCTGGGGACTGGGACACTCAATACCCACTACGTAAAGGAGAGGTTTATTATGGCTCAGTTTTTCCAGGATTCGGTCTATGGCTCAGGTTTTCCAGGATTTGGTCTATGGCTCCAAGACAGAAAGGGCATGGAGGAAAGCTGCTCACACCATGACGACCAAGAAGCAGAGTCAGAGAGGGAAGGTGGAGTCAGGACAAGACATCCTGCCAGGTCACAGCCTCAGTGACCTGCATCCTGCAGCCTCTCCCTGTGTCCCAATAGCACATTCAGCAATGGACTCAGTAGATGAAGGATGTGCTCTCATGATCTAATCGCTCCCAAACCCGGGAAGATTTGGGGGAATGTTCTAAGTCCAAACCATACAATAGCAGAAAAAGGAACCTGAGGAGATGGAGAAAAGACAACTCCTAGGCCAAAGGAGTGGATTTTGGTCCATTTCCATCTTCCTGAGGTTCTTACAACTCTTTAGTAACAAAAGCAAGGATGAGCTGGATCAGCCCAGCCAGAGTTCTTTCTGAGATCATGACTTTATCCCATGAATTCATGCAGAGCCTTACAGCGTGTGGGTTAAACACAACTTCCAACAACTAAAGGGAACACACGTTTATACAATTTTATTCTCTGGGAAGCTAATATTTCAGATCTGAACACATGCAGAATCATCATTATACTCAGCAATGTTTAGACCATAAAAATACACTTAGCAACATGTCTTCAAAGTCTGTGCACATTCTAACCCAACCACCCCACTTCTAGGAATTTATCATAAGAAAATACTATATGTAAGAAACTAGGAAAATGTTCATTGCAGGATTTCTGTAATGCTTTAGTGGGAAACCAAATATAAGTGTCCAATAATTGAGAAAGTTAAATAAAATGACATCCATATAATACCATGCAACATCAAAATTAGAATATTAAATGTCACTGAAATACCTCAATATATTCACATTAAGTAAAAAATGCAGATCCCAAAGTAAGGTGAAATACATCATATTTGTAAAGCAAATTCTTAGGAAAAAAAAACAAAACAAGAAAGCCTTAGGAATAATGGATATCTCTGGATTAGGATTTGGCTTTTTGGTTTGGATTTTGTTCCAGGTATCTGGAATATTGATTTTTGTCAGTATTATCAAATCAGACAGGTACCCAAAGTACTTGGTCCACCACGTAAGTCTGAATTCCAGAGATGGATTATACACTCATCTGCCCAGTGCAGACCTAGTTGAGACCTGTCTCCCAGTGGGACCACTGCAGAGCCCGTCACTCTCAGGTGCCCCAGCATGGATGATGAATGACAGGGCTACTTCACTGGATACAGCTCCACCACCTAGAATGTCTGTTTGCCTAGGAAGGTAAAAGATGCACAGAATCTCATTAGGCTCTAGCCTGATTGCAGATCCAAGGGAATTTGAGACATTAAGAAAAAGCAAAGTAATTTTTTATGGAAAGGCTTTTGTCAAAACAATACAAACCCAGGTCTTCATTATTTGTACATTTGTAACATTTTAGAGAAATGTTATGTCACTAAGCTATGATTACCTAGTTCATCTTATTCAAATAAATTCTAATTTAAAAACATTTCTTGAACCTAAAGAAAATTTGTCTTTATTGTGAGATGCAAGTTTACAGGCTGTTTATTTCTTAAAAATCTGTGACTATGGGACTACACAGTAGTCAAAATGCAAAATACAAAACTTAATTTGATTAAAAATTATTTTTATCGGATAAATTATTTTTAATTGTATTTTAAAGAGAAAACAAAATTTAAAAACAAGACAATAACAATGGTTAATACATTGCATACTGCTATCTTTAGAGTATAAAATATAGGTATTTAATTGTCCAAACAATATTAACACAAATCTTGGTTTTCAATGAACTAAGAGAAATTAGTAGTATAACTATCTTAACTATCATACATATGTGTACTTTTTTTTGCTTTTCCCTTTTCTCCTTTCCCCCAATACAGTTTCTCTTTATTGAATAAATTATTTAAAAAGTCTAGTTCAAATGTAGTTTTAGTGATGGCTATAGTAACTCTTTTAAAGCAACTCTTACAAGGCAAAAATATTCCTAAAGTATTAGGAACCCTTGAATTGCTGGAGAAAGGAGTATCATCTCATCTTGATAAAGAAAATCATTTTGTTTTCTGACATTGATGCAAATTTTAATTGAAAAAGTAATGATCTAAAGATACTTAATGTGGTTTCTCCACCTTCGAGCCTGCAAAACCCTCTGGGAGGATCCTGAAAAGGCAGAGTTTGGTGGACTATGGCGCAGCCCTGTTGATGCTGGCTCGGCGCCAGGCTCACAAGACTGAAGGGCACACACAGTCCTACGAACACAAGGGGTTCATGCCTAAGATGGGACCAGAATCTACTGGGTCAAGCGATGTGCTTCCATGTACGAAGCAAAGATGGCACCATGACTCCTGGCAGCAAACTGGACAAAGCCAGAGTCATCTGGGGAGGGGTGACGTGTGCTAGCCGGAGCAGCGGGAAATTCCAAAGCCACTTCCTAGAAAAGCTAAGACATAGGACCCTTTTGATGTGGATTTAAACTCAAGGATTTAAACTAATGAAAAGTAGATGCATAGAAGTGGACTTGTACCTTTCAAAAATATTTTTTAAATGAATTGTGTTCTTTCTGATAATACTAGCTACCTCAGAATTATAATCTTGTCTGCCCCTCAATAAACTAAATGATACAGAAATGCAACCTAAATTGAATATTACACAAATGTTTGAAATGTTAATTTTATTAAGAAAATATCTGATGGTCACATGAAATCATATATCAGATCACTCAATTTAAATCTTTGTGGCCTCATGACAGTAGTTACAATTTTCAATTTACAATTTTTTCCATTTATTTATTCATTCAACAAATACTACACATGTGCAAATGGCAGGCATTGGAGACACAGCATAAAACTCTAGACATGGATGGTGGTGATGGTTGCACAAATGAAGGTATTTAATGACACTGAGCTTAAAAATAGTGAAGTGGACATTCTTCAGGTGTAAGGTTATTTTGAGTCACTTTTAGGATAATGGATTCACCTTGTGACCATAATGCTTTGCAAAGTAAATCAGACATAGAAGTGTAAATACTGCATGGTTTCTTTATGTAAGAAACTCAAAATATAAATAAATTTAAACAGCAACATAAAAGATAGATAGGAAACAGAAAGAAAGCCTGTGGCAATGGGAAAGGATCTAGGGATGGGAGAAGGGATGAGGGAGAGGTGGGAAAGGAGAAATAAAAATTATCAAGATGTGATATGCACACCCATCCATTCCTCACAGTGAATATATTTAGTACATATTGCAAACATACACCAATGAAAAGAGAAAAGATAAAAATAAATGGTTGAGATAAATTTATACATGTCTAACCACAATTTTTAAAAATAGGTATTTGCACGTTGTCTCTTTTAGAACAAGAATGTGCTCAGGGCCACCAGTGAAAATCATGACAGTGAGCTAGGTTCCCTCTGCTAAGGTCAGGGGCAGCCAACTGATTTCACAGCACCAGGATCTCGGGATCCCTGGGGCAACTGCTGGTGGTGGAAGCCAGTGACAGAGGGAAGACAGAATGGGAAGAAAGAGCCAGGGCACAGACACAGGTGATCTGATTTCCATGGGAGGGAGATGGCAGAGTGGCTGAAGGGAAAAGTAATACATGATTTTTAAAACTGTGCCAAAATATGATGAAGCATCGTCAGCAAAATGATCATTTCATTGGAGATATAACTTTATATTAATGATCTCAATAATAGCAGGAATTTACAGATTATAGGGTTTTTTCATACTTCTTGTTGGATAAAAACAATAGTAGTAAATTATTTTCTTCATTTCATAGTCAGTAAAACTGAGCCATAGAGAAATTTCTCTAAGAAACTTTAAAAGGAATTGGTTTTTTTTTTTTTAAAGGTAGAAAAACACAATGCACTGTTTAGGAAAAATATTATTGTAACAGTTGCATGTTTAAACAACTTCAGACTTTAAAGCTATTCCAAATGTTTGACTCCAGTTACATCCTCAAGACGCCAAATTCAGTCTTCTGGATGGGTGCGTTGAGGGCTGCACTGATACTGAGACCCACGACCAGTCTGGTGTCGGCCGGATCAATAATGCCGTCATCCCACAGCCTGCCCAAGAAGGAAAATGAGTTATGAGGAACTTTGCCACCAAACCACCACCAAGACGCACTATGCCAAGCAGAGCCTACATCAGTAAGATGTGGACCTCAGGTGAGCACCTTGTTCCGGAATCTCACATGGACATCACACTCTACAGTGGGAAGGAAAATTAAACTATACTAAAGTATCATTTTTCATCCACTATATTTACAAAGATCCAAAAATGTGGTTCATGAGTGGAGCTGAAAGAGGCATTTTACTGTGTTTTGTTTTGATTTGCTTTTTGTTTTGTTGAGATACTTTCTCACTATGTAATTCAGGTTGGTCTTGAAGTCACCAAAAAGCCCAGATGGGCCTAGAACTCATCCCAATCTTCCTGTCTCAGCCTCTCAGTTGCTGGATTACAGGCATGCCCCACCACAGCCGGCCTGAAAGATATTTTTGTACAATGGTGGGAATGCATAATCTCTGTGGGAGGTAATCTGGTACATATTATTAATATATACATTTTAACTCAGTAAGGCCAACTTCACGGATTCATATTAAAACTAATACTCTTGCTGGGTGTAGTGGCGCATGCCTATAATCCCAGTGCCATGAGTTTAAAGCCAGCCTGGACTACAAAGTGAGTTCAAGGCCAGCCGGAACTACATTGTGAGCCTCTGCCTCAAAAAAACCAAACCAACAAAACAAAACTCTCTCAGGGTCAGCCTGGGCTACATAGTAGGTTCAAGGCCAGCCTAGCTACAAAAGGAGGTCCTGTCTCAAAAACTCTAAATAAATACATACATACTTACATATAAATAACACTCCCAAGCATGTGAAAACAATCCTGCTTGCATTATCACTATGATAAACCACAGCAAGATGTGAGAAATAATAATCTTAGCTAATAACGTAGTAGTTAAATAATTAAACTGGCACATCTATCCCATGGAATAGAAAAAGCAGATTTGCACACATTAAGAAAAAGCAGATTTCTGAGAACTGGTCAAAGATCCTTTCCAGTATAACTTATTAAGGCAAAAGAAGAAAAGGGGTGGGGGAATAACATGACTTTTCCCTGGCAACCACAAAATGTCACACTGAGTTTAAAGCTGAAATCTGAAAATAATCCCTGATTTAAAAATATTTTTACATATCCCACAAAAAACTTCCCTTTTTGCCCAGAGAAATGTACATACCAAGCTGTTGTTTCTGTCATTAATCTAGAAAGAGAACATTACCCCAGGTAATAATCTCAAGTCCTTATCTGTCTACTCCGAATCTCCCATAATTCTTAAAAAACTGTAAGTTACTCAGTGTGATTCAATACATTTTACTAATAAAAAATACTCCCAAATGTAGTTATTTTTGCTACATTCCCAGCCCTTTTGTTACTATATTTTGAGACATGGTCAGTTTTGCTTTCTTTAAACAAACTGCCTTCACTATCTGGATATCACATCAATCATTACACCATTCTTCCATCGACAGACAGAAATCAAATCTTTGCTTATAAAATATTCATCATAGGGACCCTAAAACATCAGTAGCCAATAAAAAGAAAGCATGTAATTTGTACACAGGTGAACTGATTGTGTCCCTTCTGAGGTCTGCAGCCTGTGACCCTCCACACACAGTGATGGAGGGGCTCATCAATGATGTCCATTAAAGGCTACTCCAAGTAAAGGGCTCTAATCAAATGCTCGATAAAGCTGGACTATAAAACAATTAGCAGAAGCAAACTGGCAGTTATATATGAATCACGTAAGCATTAAGAAAAACATTGGAGGGGCTGGGGCTGGAGCTTAGAGGTCTGGTGCTCAGCATGCGTGAGAGCCTGGCTTCCACCCCCAGCACTGCAGAGTGAAAACACATGAAGGTTCCAGGAGCAGGCAATGCCCCAGCTATGTGAAAGCACTGGCAAGCCAGGGAACACTGTTAATCTAAGACTTAATAAACCAAGGATACTACCCTGAGCCAGCCTGAAAATCCTTGCATGTTGAAGAAAAATTGCTGCCTCCCAGTACCACTTCAGCAGGTGGGTTCGGCATCTACGAATTACTGGATAAACTTTTCTGTCTTTGAAGATTTATTTCAGAAGCTAAGTCTATCTGGGTCATGTGCTGTCTTGCCTTGCATGCTATCCACTAAAAATAATAACAATATGTGCATGGAAATAAAGGACACAACCTTACTCTCAACATGTCCTTTATCATCGCTAGTGCAGAAAGACAAGCTCGTGGCTCACACAAGATCTAGTTTTTGAAGTTTCATATTTCAATGGTCTCAGTGTAATTCAGTCAAAATCCTACATAAAGAAAAACTGTCCATGAGCTTACAATGTGTACTTCACATATGACCTTAAATTCTCACATAGCTCTCTACTGCTTCCTTGCCTCTACAGATCGCAACCAAAACCCCTTGCATGATGGCAAAAAGAAAATCAAAGACTATAAAATATACTGTCCTTGGCTGGGGATTTAGCTCAGCGGCATAAGCGCCTGCCTTGCAAGCAGGCAGTCGGAGTTCGATCCCTGGTACCGATAAAAAGGAAAAGGACCAAAAAAAAAAGAATGCTTAAAAAAAAAATACTGTCCTTAATGAAATGATTCAATGACCCAACACAACAAAATATGTCTGTCAATCTGTAAAAAAAAAAACAAAAAATTCATTACACAGGGGACAGACAGTCCCCCAAATGCTATTTTAAAATCCCAAATGTTATGACAGGGTTTAGCACAGCAGCATAAGCACCTGCCTTACAAGTGCAAGGTTGTGAGTTCAATGCCCAGTACCTAAAATAAATAAATATAAAAATCCCAAATGTTATTATTTGAACTCAAATTTATTATGGCCTAGGAAATCAGATGTTTAGTCTTTGTATTCCAGTGCCTTAAGAGTGGTGTTGGCCACAAATGATGTGTTCTAATTATTTAAATGGATTCTAACTTTTGATTTTTTTTCTCTTTTCATCTGCACCAGTAAATAATGTTAATCACAGCATAACCTAATTTTAAGACACAAACAGTCATTTTTTTCTCCCATCAGCCCAAAAGATGAAAAGACATGAAGCTCAGATTAGTTCTCAGGATGCAGAATGCTGGAGCTGTTGAAAGTGCATGCCAGCAAGTCTCCAGCTGGGGCAGGCACAGAAAATTTATTACCTCATTAAGTAGCATAAAAAAACAAACAACCAACAGCTGTGATGGTGTATGAGCTAATTACTTGGGACTGATATGTGGACCCTGACTAATCACCTCCTGAGTGTGCAAAACATACTTGTTAACAAGCACCAATATGTGTTCAATGAATTTCATGCCTAACAGAGTAAAAACAAAGTAAAAATGGAGGCATCCACATTTTTAAGTAAAAATTAGAATTCACTTCCTGAGGATGACACAGCCAAGATTGTACTGGCATTCCCAGCTCCCAGAACATCCACCTCTGGCCACAGGACACCACCTGTCACTGCAAACTCCAACTGGTGGTGGGATGAGCAGTGCAGAATCAGACTGATGATGGCACAAGAAAGCCAGGAAGGAAAGGCAACAGTTTAGGTACAAAACTAAGTGTAATGCTCTCTGATTCCTACAAAACTCGAACACTCCGAGAATCAGCACTGCCTGCCAAGAGGCTGCCATCAGGGAGTCAGGCGCTGGCTCACACCTTGCACTGGAATAGTACGGGTTTCCTTCCTCTTCAAACCTCTTAATGACGGGTTCTTTCAAAGCCGCTTCATCGGCACTGGAGAACTGAAAGAAAGGAGGCCATGAGTAGGTCAGCTTCACCAGAACAATGGAGACTGCTCAGATAATCTCACAAAAGAGAACAAATCTCATAGGTAATAATGTTAAGACTATCATGCAATGATATATAGCACGTAAGTGATGCATCAACATACATAATTTCACAGACATAAATATCAAATTAGTGCACCATTGTACCTCCCTCCTCATAAGTAATGTCCTGTGGCCATTTAATGTAAAGTCAAAACCAAGGGTACTACACATACTCCAGCATGGTACAACAATAGGTGGGAGTTACACAATATAACAAAATAGCAACATCATCTAGCAGCCTCTGGTTGAGAAGATGAAGTATAAGATGTTCATTCAAAACAGCCAAAATTTGCAAACTTAAAACTTAGAGGGATCAAATGTCAACCCCTCCTTGAATAAGCAATTCACCTTGAATAACTAGTTTTCATTTCCCAGGTAATGAAGAGATATTTTTCTTCCATTAAAAAGTTAATGGTGTTCAAAAAAAAAGAAGTTAATGGCTTTCCCACTAGTATTACAAGGATCAAGTGATAAATTCACACATAAAAACCTTCAGAACTAATTTGAAACCTGGAAAACTATTTTCAACTTACAAAAACTTACCACATTTGGAGCGGTTATAGTTATGATAGGGTAAGTAAACTTGATATACAAAGCTTTAAAAAAAAATAATTTTCTACTCCAGAAACAAATGACTCATTTCAAATAAATCCTACCTTCTTTGATATAAACACTTTAGCATTTTAATATCATTTTATAAATCAAGAACATATATGGAGAACCGGTAACACACTGTACTTTCCCTTCATGAATAAAAAGATGTATTTGCATATTTGTGTGTCAACTAATCAAAGAATAACTATTTAATAAGAGATTATCATGCCAGAATTTAAGGTATGTCTTCAGATTATCAGGTTGAACCTCATACTGTACATTCTCTACCTCCACAATCAACCTCCTACCCTGACACAAACACACACACACACACACACACACACACACACACACACACACACACTTTGATGGTAGTTGGTGCTAAAGTGAATCTAAAAGCTTGATGCAACTCTGGAGTTCCTGCTTCTTGGTGAAGACGATCAAGGGTGTGAGGCTCAGACAGAGCTTGATGTTAACCCAACCCCACAAACCAAGTGGTAGGCCAGATGACCAGCAGGACGTCGCCTGAAAATGCCACACTTCTTCCATGTCACATTTTCATGTGGGAGCAACTTCAGGAACTAACATTTAAGGCTTGGGGCTTGCACTAAATAGTTACAAAGTTATAACTAATAAAAAATTTAAAAGAAAAATGCAAAAATTCAGAAGCCTCTCAGACAGATACCAAAGCAGCCACCTGCCAACCTGCCTCTCTGGTAGTGCCCTCCCCACCTTTTCTCCTATTGTCCAGGGACACTGATGCCACTTGCTGCTCACAAGGTGCCTGAGCCTCCCACTCGAGGTGGTATTTGGCACAATCTAAAAGTAAAATGCAGAAAACAGAATTCTGCTGCTTTCATCAGAAAAATCAAGGGGAAAAATTGGAGTGACTTAAATCTCACTAACCGTGACTACGAATGAAATATGTTCATGCCTTAGGCACTCACAGGCAGTTTCTGAAAATTTCTTAAACAACCACAAAAGCACCTCAAAAGAAACAGCTTTAAAAGATAAAGACAGAATGGCTGGGATATAGCTCAGTGGCAGAGCCCTTGCCTAGCATGAGTGACGCCCTGGGTTCAATTTCCAGAACCACAAAAACAAAAAGTAAATAAATAACAAAAAAGTAAGCCTACATGCATTTGCCTAAATCCATGTCCCAGCTCTTGGGTCATCTCCTGCCAGGATAGCAAACCTTTTAGAGCTTTCAACGATAACAAACCACCAGCTATGGCACACATGCCTTAGGTTCACCACCACTGTGACCCTCCCCTAGACACAGCAGAATTCTGAGTCCTCTGCTCCAGGGCTCCTCAGCATTCCTTGGTGAAAGCCAAACCCAGATGGGAAGAAACATCACTCACCTGTTTTCCCTCCCGTGCTCTTTGGTCCTTGGCTACAGTGGCTAACACATTGGCTGCCTGCTCTCCTCCCATCACTGAGATACGAGCGTTTGGCCACATGTAGAGAAATCTTGGGCTTGGAGGAAAAAAAGAATGATTGAATTCATTTAAAACACAGTACAGAGATTTTTTTTTTTCAGAAGCCAGGTTTGCTTTTTGAATGAGTGGTTTTTATTTTCTACTGTACATCATTATCATCTGAAGAATTAAAAACAAAATTCATGTCCAAGAAAAGTATGGTGATGCCCATCTGTGATTCAATCACTTGGGAGATTAAGGCAGGAGAATCACAAGTTTGACGCCAGCCTAGGCAATATAATGAGACCCTGTCTCAAAATAAAAAATAAAAAATGAGTTGCAATGTAGCTCTAGCGCAAATACCTTGGGTTTAATTCCCAGTACTGAAAAAAAAAAAAAAGTGCCTTGGCCAAGCGTGATGGTGCATGCCTGTAACCCCAGCACTCAGGAAGCTGATGCAGGAGGATCCCCTGGAGCTCAAGGTCAGCCCAGGCTACACAGAAAGAGCCTGACTCAAAAGAAAAAGTGCCTGTAACCCACCACAGAGCAATTTGCATTGCCTGTATATGTAACATGATTTCCAAGCTCTGCAGCAGTTCATTCTGGGTCTAAAAGTGTTCTAACATCGCCTTGTTATCTGCAGCCTTATCTTGTTTCCACTCCTGATATGGCTTACATGTACCTTCTCTTTTTTACGGTTGGTACCACAAAGGAATTATCAAGTGCATTCATCTTTCAAACAAACAACTTTGGGCTTTTCTGACTTATCTTACGTTTGCTGTTTATTACCTCCTTTCCACTGTTCTTGGGTTTAATCTGCTATTCTTCCTGAAATGGATGTTTGGCTCATTAATTTTCAGCCTTACTTCCTTCTCCAGTATACTACATACATTTAAAGATACAGACCTTTCTTAAAACAAGATCTTAGTTGCATCACATAAGTCCTAATGTGTAATGTTTTCATTACTATTTACAGTATTTCCTGGGTCCCACTGTAGATTTTTCCAAATAGTATCTTAAACATCTGATTTACTTTTATCCCTGGAAGATACAAATTAGAGTGCAACTGATCAAGATTTGGGAATGCCATTCTATAGCTCACAGCTGACACAACTGACCACTTACATTATACTTGAAGCATGTTTCTTTCTTTCAGAGAAAGTCATCATATCCACCTACCTGTAAGCTCTGCCACACATTCCATAGTTTCCAGCCCCATAGGACCCCCCAATGATGACAGTTATCTTCGGTACTTTGGCACAGGCTACCGCAGTCACCATCTTGGCACCATCTTTGGCAATGCCCTCAGCTTCATAGTCTTTACCAACCATGAATCCTAGGAAAGAGAACAAAACAGAACTTTGGGGTGATAAGATTAATGAACAGAATTTAGCTCCACCAAGGCACAAACAACATCTTGTCTTTCACATTACTGCCAGCCTCTTGTACAAACAAAATATTCGTATGTGAAATATACCCAAAAAGTTTGCTTTGAAAAGTAAAATAAAACTTCCTCTCAGCACTTTTAAAATTTCCTTAAAATGGTTCACTGGGATACAAAGGAGACCTTCAGACTGCAAAAGAAAGTTGTCCGTCTTTAAGCAGTCACCTCAAAGCAGTGGCTTGACGATGAGAGACTGTGACAGGGACAGATAAGGAGAAAGCCCAAGCGGGATAGCATCATATTCACTGACCTGGTTTAAAAATATTCCTTCCGAAGCACTGCTTTAAAACTTTGATGAAGTGAGGATTAATGTTTCATGGAGACACACAGAATCCCTGCCAGCGACTCGTAGCAAAGATAAAATGTTTTTCTAGCACTGTGATTGCTTCTTCACACCCAGCCCTCTGAACCTCTCTCCAGCTGTACCATGCACCACCAGGACTTGGACAGCACCCTCATCACCATCACCCAGAGACCCGCTGTACCTATCTCCCTGCCATCTGCAGCACAGGCTGCTCTCATCTGTGTGCTTGAACTGACTGCCTCAGTTTGCTCTTTGGCTCCCCTGCACCTCGCCATCCGGTTCAGTTCAGCCGACTCTAACGGTGCCCTGTGCTCACTGCCCCGGCACAGGAACTGCGACAGAGCGGCCCGGCCTGCTCACGTCCTCCTCAGCTGTCTCTCAGAGCAGCTCAGCACTCCTGTAGCTAGTGCTTCCAGACTCCCTGCAATACCTGCAACTTACATAGCCATATACTCATTGTCTTCTAGCGCTTACCCTCCACCCTCCCCACCCTTCTCTCTGTTGTTCTACCTTCAAAGGAACAGAGGGAAGCCGGCTGAGCTGGCTCTCTGGATTCCACCTTCTCACCATAAAAACAACTGCACAATCATGTTCCTTTTCCTTCTTTATTCTTAGCTATTTGGAAATTCCCAGAATTTCACAAAGACTACCCTTGAGTTTTCTCTCTGGAATGTTCCTGTCTATTCCCACAGCTTTAAATACTACCGCAAGCTCTAATGATGCCTACATTTTCATCCCCAGCTAAGACACCTCTTCTATGCCCAAGATTTATTCAGAGGCAAATGGTTATCTCACACATTCCTCAAATGCAGTCTTGCAAAACTAAACTCAGCCTCTGTTCTCTGGTCCCAATATGGCCAAAACAAAACAAAATGAAAAAGTAGGCATCTCCTGAGTACTGTATTTAACTTAAGGTGGTATGTGACAATTAAAAAGTGGATCCCTAGATTAACTAAATTTCAGAGTTCTTTTAGTCTGCCCTTGTACATGAGTTGCCATCTGAATATAACCACTCTTTAAAATTCATCTAATCAAGTATCTTAAACCTGAGCAGACACAGGAGGAAGATATTCTTACATTACTACTATTTAAAGCCCTGCTCACTGCCAAGAGCCAACTTGGCCACCTCAGAAAGGCCTGAGGGAGCCCACCACTGACTGTAGACTTCTAGTCCTCTGAACTGCAGGCAACCACATGTGACTTAGAAGACGGGAAAGAATCCTCTGCTTGCCGACATACCTGCAACAGTGCCTCCCTATGTCACACGCAGTGCAAAACACACACAGAGCAGACAATCACAGAATTTGGAAAAGAGAACTCTAGAGCTGGAAGAGACTTAAAAATCCATCCACCATGAAAAGGTTATCTTTGGACACAGTGTCAACGAGGTGGCAGAACTCATACTGGTCGTTACATTCCTTAAGAGTCAAAAAGCATCATTACCTCAATAATACACATCGCCAAACTGATTATGCTACTTTCTCACCAGTAATGTTCTGAAGGAACAGCAGAGGAGTATTTCTTTGGCAGCACAGCTGGATGAAGTGAGCACCCTATAAACAAATAATATACAAATCTTTTTTTAAAAAGGGTAATTAGGCCCACAATCTTGGTGCACCCTACAAAAAACCACAATTCAGGTCAAAGGCAAGAAGAAATAACTTTTGTCTGACCAGTGTGACCATCTATCAACAGTGACAACAGTATACCAGTGCTCACTGTGAGCAGGAGAAGTCTGATTGTAGTTTGCACTATACTTATTTTGCCCAAATGCTTGTGTAATCACCAGCATGTGGCTATCGACAGCTGCTGTGTCAGAGATAAAGTCAGTTTCTAACATTATTCTAAAGACCAAGTGAAACGACAGAAAAACTACTACCCACGAGAACTGAGAGACTTTGCTGTAATTAATTCTCTAGTTCTCCATGGAGAAAAGGTAGAATATGAACCCTTCTAGGATATCAAGGATGACATTTACATTGTGACGACCATTTGAAATTCCTTTGTGTATCAAGGTTACAGTAAAATACTTCTTTCTTATCAGACTATATACTAAATATGATTCTTGGACTAGGAGAGTATTAGAGATTTTCTTGAGTTTAGAAAAATATTTATTGATCCAAAAACATAACTATTCTTTCCTCATCCTCTAAAGATCATGTGAGCAAGAAATTCTTATAAGCCATTTCCTTCATCATTTGTTTGCAGATGCCTTTACCTAGAAATGTCCTGGCAGCTATAAAACTGTAAAGTAATTGTTCAACCTCAATGTGACTATGTTTATAGGAATGTGGAAATCTCACAGAGCTTCGGGGTTTATATCAACAAATGAAATGTCAGACTCAGGCCTAATATAAGACCTCCTGAGTTTATCTGAACTAAGTCAATAGATAAAATCAGATAGTTTGTCTAGCCTCAGCCTAATAGAGAAATCTGTTAGAGGAAGTATATTATATATTCATTAAGGTTATTATTCAGAGCCTGGTGTGGTGGTGTACACCTGTAATCTCAGTACTTGGGAGGCTAAGGCAAGAGAACTGCCATGAGATCTAGGCCAGCATGGACTACATAATGAGTTCAAGGCCAGCCTAAACTATACAGGGAGACAATGACCACGTCTCAAAAAATGAAAACAAACAGTATTTCAGAAATATTTATTACTGTGAGAAACCCTCAGTATGTACAGTAGTGCCATGGTTCAAGAATTTAATTCTTTCCATGATTCAGGTCACAAACTAAATTGGATGAGAACCAATCAAATTTAGTGGTTAGGCTCAATGTTGACATTAGCGGGGAGATTTGATTCTGTTCTCATCCAATGTGGTATGCAACCAGAATCATGGAGAGAATTAAGTTTTGAACCAAGGTACCAATGTATATGGTAATATATATTTCTGGTTTTTTTTAAAGAAAAAACTAAAGAACCATAATAAATTATCAGTAAAGATTCTTTGTAACATGATTATGGATGATTTTTATTTTTACTTCCTTGTTTTCATTTTATAGTTGATCTGACAGAATTGATAACAGTAAAATATAGAAACTTTTATTGATAAAATATTCTTTTACCAAAGACTAATTCTTCCTTAATTAGGGTATGAAAAAGCTTAACTACCTGTTATCTGTATTAGCAAGGGACACTATACCTTACTGAAAAGGAAAGACAGGATTAAACATCTGCCTCTTAATAAATCAAATATTAAGTTCAATGATATTCAGGAACTCTCTCTTTTAAAGCCAGAACACTAGAAATATAGATCTACTATCTTCCCATTTCCAAAAAAGTAAAGATAAATGGATGATGGAACAGAAGGGAACAAACAGCTCACATCCCGCAGCACCTGAAGAGCAGGCTGAACCCCACTAACACAGCACCCCAGCAGAGGAGACCTTTCTGGACAAGAGTTCCCCACCTTCTCAGGACACAGGTATGTCCTCAAAAGCAGTGTTAACTCAGGGAGCTCCTAAGAATTCTCCCAAAGCAAGTACACTTGGACTTTTAATAGTGCTGCAGATAGTTCATATGACTTCATCCACTCACAGAACTTCCCCATACTGACACACACACACTGTTCTGGAAAGGTGTCTTGCTAAACACTATAAAGCTTTCATGTAATAAATTTTAATTCATTTTTTGACCTTCAAAAATTAATGTTAAATTAAAACTGTAAATATTGAAACATTTTCATAGTACTTGCCTTTTTTGCAGATTCAGAAAACAGAACTCCATTGTTTCCAATGACACCTACCGGGTATCCAAATATTCGAGCAAATCCTCAAAAAAAAAAATTTCAAAAGAAAATTTTCAGAGGGCTTTAATTCACAACAGAAGCATATTTACATGTTCTTTAATTTCAGACAAAGTTTAGAATGTAAAAATTATACCCAGAGTATCAAGTAGATAATGTCACAATTTTTTAAGAACTGAAGTACCACAATCTGATTTATTTTTATTTTTTTATTCTTTATTCTTTTGTTTTCCAAAAGCTGCATGTTGCATAGTTTTCCATCGGCTGCTGATTGCTTGTTTTGGTTAATGATTGGTAAGCCTGCCATTCACTTAATCATCTAACTTATATCTCAGTGTGGCACACACCAGAATTGAGAGGGACAAGGTCAGAGCTACTGACCAACTTGATCAAAACTGCCCATGTAACAACAGGCCTTTAAAATTAAAAAAAGATTAACTCAGCTAAAATAACAACAACAAGGAAAAAAAAAAAACCCAAGAACAGTGAAGACTGGAGGCTGGAGGTAACAAGCAGTAAGTAAGAAATCCAGTTAGAAGAATGGGTCACTCTACTTTTATTTGCTGTGCTTTTGGATGCTTCTTTCACCTTTCACAAATGTCTTTTTTTTTTTTTTTTTTTTTTTTTTTGGTACCAGGGATAGAACTCACAACCTTGCACTCACCAGGCAGGTTTTTATACTGCTAAGCTAAATCCCTGGCACAAAAGTCATTTATATGTTGTCTCCACCTCCACTACCACCCCAAACACCTGCCTTCTGCAGAGAAGAGAGGAAGGAGGGGACAAGGAAGAAGAGAGGAAAATGTTATTTTGTGAAGCAGGTATTTGGGGTGGTTCAGAGAATGTAACTATTTTACAAATCAGAAGAGCTGGGCTAGGGAGCCCTCCAGAGTGCTCAGCCACAAGCCTGCTTCTACCTGGGAATGCATGCTGTGGACTGGGAGCCTGAGCCCGAGTCCCCGGGCACGCAAGAGTAGGCCCAAAACAGCTGGCAGCAAAAGTCCCTGTCCCAGAGCCCGTGCCTCCACTCTAGCTGCACAGTGCATGCCGGACACAAAGTCGGCACCCAGAGCACCACGGGACAAAAACAAACAGTAAGAGCATTCCAACTGGATAGGCCAGATGCTCGATTTTTAAAGATGTGCTTTTGTTCTTTACTCCAGCTGCATCTTGAAATATTATTTCTTTAACTCATCATATTTATGTATTAAGGTGGTAAAACAACATGGACTAGATGGCCACCTAAATTTCTCCTCGTCCTTCAGGCCCAAGGTCCTAGCCAAAAGCCTGTGGTGCATACCCACTCACAGAAGCAATTCCAAACTTTCCAACAGTCCTGTGTACCCACAGAGCCACCATCCAGACCCCGATCTATCCCAAGGCCTCCCCTGAAGGTGCTGCCAGTGGCCAACACTTGGACGCTGGAAGCATCCAGCTGGAGGCTTCCAGATGTGACCAGCGACTTAAGCTCTTCACCAACTGGTAGACCCAAACACAGACGCGCCCTTGCAAGAAACAACAGTGTGAAGGGCAGCAGGAGACTGCCAGGGGCCCTGAGGCACAGAGAATTCTACCCCATCACCTTTCCCACCTTCTCCTCCTCTGTACTCTGCTTACCCCAACCTTATTTGAATTCTGGGACAGGCAAGCAGAGTTGGATATGCTCCTGGCATGCTGGGAGGACAAAGGTATCACAAGTCTTTTAGCAAATACTGGGCAAACATATAAAAGCTGATGACAAGAACAGCCCATCCATCTTTAGAGAAAGCAGAAAAGCTGCAACTTGTTTTAAACTATTAGTGACAAAATCCTATCTATGTATCAGCCAAAAAGCTTTTAATCACTTAAAACACCTAAACACAGAAACATAAATTCTACTCTCAGTGTGAACCTTTCTCTTGCTCACAAATCAAGTGAGGAGAAAGTGCTGAGATTTATCTGGAGCCTCAGTGTATATTTGTGGTATGGATTTTTGGATCTACTTCTTTTTTTCCTGTTGTGATCTGTTACCTTCAGAATAACTACTGTATTTTCAAGCTTCTCGTGGCAAAGTAAAATTCACAATATTTATTCTGCCTTTTGTACCCAAAAGGATTATATTGAGTCTAGAGTCTGTTTAAAGCCCTTTTCTTTGAAGGCCTAGACTGTTAATACCTTAGACAAAGGAAATGACTTTTATAAACATTATTTTGTTTTCCCAGACATGCATTCTTGTCCTGTGCTCTCAATCTGGCATTTGCTTGAATCAGCTTGAGACCAACAGAGATTGTGAACAGGTTCAATTCACCCTGCATCCTTCAGCAAAGTTATAACAACACACAAAACTTCCCAAAGAACAAAGGAGACAACACTGAAATTTTCATAGTAGTTACCCAAAGAAACAAAAAGAACTACAAATATTTTCTGCCAGTTGTACTAAGAACTTCTAGTGGTCTAAGAACCACAGATAAGGCCCCATCACACAGAACCTGGTGGACCTCATGTTAAACTCCCTGAACACATAAAGCCACTCAGCTACAGTTTTTTATGAAACAGCTTTTTGAAAAGATTGACTCATATATTTATAGTGTTCTAAATAACAAAGTTTGTGCTACTCAGCGCCTTGAGACAAAAGATCACCTATTTGCAAAGCAGTAGAAAATGTTTACATTTTCAATTTTTCACTTGCATACCTGTTACTAATGTATCTCCATATAAGGCTTTAAACTCATTGAATCTGCTTCCATCCACAATTCTAGCAATGACCTAAGAGGTAAAATAAAATGTTTCTGAGAAATTATGTTACAAAAGAACGCTCTCATTAAAACTATTTATAAGGCAAACAATTTACAATGACATTGTCACTTTCACAAAATTTCACCCTACACATCCTACACAGGGAAGTGGTACATGCCCATAATCCCAGCCCTTGGGAGGCTGAGGCAGGAGGATCACTGTGATTTTGAGACTATATAGTAAATCCAAGGTCAGCCTGAACTGAACTACACAGTGAGACCGTGTCTCAAAAACAAAACAAAACAAAATACATACAACACACACACACACACATTTCACCCCTCAGAGAAAATCTTCCTAGAATTTTATTTGATCGCATAACTAATACCCAGTGATTTTACACTTCACTATAAAAGCAAGAGAATCACCTTGCATGCCACAAAAGGAGCAGAGCAAGACTCTGGTGGCAAGGACTCATGCTTGGCGAGAGAGGCACTCAGAGTCAGAAAGGGCCCAGCTAGACCTGGAGTCAGAGGACATCAGCTCTAGTTGAAGGTATCCCAATGACCTGGGTGTGCCAGACTAAGTCACCTAACCCATCTGTCTTAGTTTTCACTTCCGGAGCTGAAACAAAGTTCGAGAACTACGACAAATGAATAGGACAGAAACTAAGAAAATAACACTGAGCTAAAGTTCCACCACTAGGAAACTGGTCATAAAATCCTCTGAGCTTATGTCCATATCTATTACACAAACAGACAATTTAAAGATCTGGCTTTCATCGAAGGGCAGACCCCCAACTCCCCACGTTGTGTGAGACAGCACCTTGCTAAGTCACTAAGTTACCCAGGTTAGGCTCAACCTTAGGATCTTTCTGTCTCCACCTCCCAAAGTGCTAGGATTCGATGTGTGTCACCACACCCAGCTCCAAAGGTAACTATTATTAAGCCCTCATTAACTGTTCACCAATCCTGATCTAGTACACATGAAGGTACATCCACATTCACTGTTAATCTAAAAGGAGTAGAAACGAGGCTAAGGCAGGAAGATCACCACAAGTTCAAGGCCAGCCTAGGCTACATAGTGAGTTCAAGGCCCCTCTGAACTACACGGAAAGATCCTGTCTCAAAACACTAAAAAAAATAAATAAATAAATAGAAAGAGTAGAAATGACAAGGTTTATCCTTGAGGCTCACCACCTCACACCAGGATTGCTTCAGGGGAGCACATGCTTACCACACATAAGGTTCCGAATCCAATCCCCAGAACACAAACAAAAAAGAATCATGAACATGAAATGCGCCTGAAACTTCTCCAAAACTATTTCACATGCTATCTCTCACTTTTCCTGTACAGTTCACACTTCCTTTTTCTCTTTATCACATCAATCAAAGCCTTCTTTTACAAGATGCAAAGGCTGAGCCAGGGGTGGTGGCACACACCTGTAACCCCAGCAATGGAGAGGCTGAAGCAGGAGGATCGTTGCAAGTTCGAGACCAGCCTGGGCAACAAAGTGAGCTCAAAGCCAACCTGAACTGCATAACAAGACCCTGTCTCAAAAAGACCAAAAAAAAAAATACAGATGCAAAAACTGAAGAATGAGCAGACACTTTCCAATGTCTTTCTCTGCATAAAATAAATCTTACTTTGAACTACTTTTCAGTTATTTTCTTAAATATGAGGATACTACAATGATGTGTTTTAGGTGCTACAACCTTCAAAACTGAACCTTTAACAAAAAACATGTAAGAGCCGCCCTTCCTCCACACAAAGACAAAGCTGCTCTGAAGGACAGAGGGATCTTGAGCCATCAACTGTAAAGTCACTTCATGTCTGCTTTCCAGTTGACACCATCTTCCCACTGAAATATATTCATTTACCTTTATGAGAACCTAAACTGCCTGACAACCTAGGTAATTTGGTCCTACTCCCATTTCTAGAAGCAGCAAACAATACTCTGAGAGGTTAAAACCCAGTAGTCTGCCCAGGGCAGTACAGGAAAACATGGTACGTGCGTTAATTGTTTTTCTCAAAAGGTATTAATGTATGAGTTGCTTGTTCTAAACTGAACCATCAGGTTTAACTGCAGTGTTGTACTTTGCCATAAATAAGTGTGATTTGGATTACAGTTTGGCCACTTGTCTCTAAAAGGTTCACCATCACTGCTCTAGGGGAACAAGGATCAGAACCCAGGTTTTCCAGCTCTGAATCCACTGCCAGCTACCAAGATCTTTGTACAGAGCCTATTTGTTATTATTAAAAAAAAAAAACAGTAAATTACACTCACAGTGATGAGCATGAAGCAGAAAAAGCAGTCTAGATTATGACTTAAGACAAGAGTCGCTGGGTGTGGTGGCATAGGCTGGCAATCCTACCGCTCAGGAGGCTGAAGTAGAAGGATTGCAAGTTTGAGGCCAGTCTGGGAAACTCGGCAATACTGTCTCAAAACTAAAACTGAAAAGGGCTAGGGGCATAGCCCTGAGTTCAATCCCAGGATCCAAAATAAATAAATAAATAGTGTAATATTGTATATAACCTATGGTACATCCTCCCTTATAGTTTAATCTGTAGATTACTCATAATACCTAAATACAGGGCCAGGGACATAGCTCAGCAACACAGTGCTTGCCTGCATGAGGCCATGAGTTTAATTCCTGATACCAAAAAAAAGTCCTAAATACAATGTAAGTGCTATGGAAATAACTGTTGTACTATTTGTTGAGAAAGATTTCCCTAATTTTTCTTGGTGTAATTTTTCTTGGAGAATATGTTCAATCTCTGCTTGCTTGAATCCACAGATGTAGAATGGAGAGCCAACCCTATCTATCTATCTATCTACATCTCCAAAACATTTGCTATTTTCTTTGTGTGGTGGAACTACAAACAATTTTATTTTCTTCTTTTCTGTATTTTCTATTGCACAGCTAGTACCTCATAGTGTTACAGTCAAGGAGGAAAAGTAACTTGAAGTATTAAAGCTTATAGTAATTAATCTACAGTTAAGATAATTTCCTAACTTAAAGAGTATTTTGCCAGCTATAGATACTGAACAAAATAAAACTGTCAACTTAGACTATAGAAGAGTCTGTCAGAAATCTATAATCATGGCAACATCTTTGACTGTAATCAAATCTATTCTTCATTAATGTCATATTGATCTAGAAGGGTATATTTTCTTCTTTCAACAATTTACTGACATTTCACCCACCTCCCAAATACAAAGACTGAAAAGAAATAGCTGAAAAAGTTGTGAAACCATCCTACATAGTTCCTGATACTCACAGGAATATGGATCTATGACAAACCAAGAGGTGCTGTGCAATGAAAGCTTCCCAGTATTAAGGAATTACTCTTTTTTTCCTAGTACAGTATTTAATGTGCACCCAGGTTCCTCGCCAGGGAAAGCCATCTTCCCACATGTCACACAGCCATGTCTACTCACACATACATCACAGCAACCTTTAGCTCTGACTGACAGTAAGTTCACAGCTTTCACGTACCTCTCGGACATCAAAGCTCCTCTTAAGGTTAGCACCAACTATTCCATACAATTCATCAGCAGGAAACAAAGGCTCTTCAGAAGGCTCCACAGTAACCTACAGAAATTGAGAACAATCCTGCTAGCCTGTAGAAAGACACGATTCAGGTGACGTAAGCCAAAATGCCTCTTGGGAAGACACAGTAGAGCATGGCCTACTCACATCCAGTTTCTTCTGATAATTCAGACTCCTTACAATCTTCCTTGCTAAGTGAAGGGCGTGATGATCGTCCAAAGCATAGTGGTCAGTGACCCCGGATTTCCTACAGAATAGAGCACAGTGGAACAATCAGTGCAAGGAAAAGGAAAGATGTTTAAACATCTTAAACCCCAAATCCTTCTTTTACTACACAAGGAACTCTATTATTTCCAAGACACTTTAATAAATGCCATTTTATTTGATACTCCTAATGTTCCTGGAAAGAGAGATATCTTTGCTTTTACTAAAGGGAAAAATCTAGGACTAGTGGAGTAGCAGCTGCTTTAGAACCCAAGCCTTCTAGTTCTCAACCCTGGCTCTCTTCTTCTAGGCTGCAGCAGCTCACTGGCAGGCTTCTGTGAAGTGTGCATCTTAGCCAGGCATGGTGGCACACACCTGTTGCTCATCATTCTGGGAGGCTTATGCAGGAGGATTGCAGATTTGAGTACAATCTGGACAACTCAGTAACTTCACAGGACACTGTCATAAAATAAAAAATAAAAGGGGGTGGGGTATAGCTCAGCAAAGCCCTGGGCTATTTCCACTGACCCTGAACAGAGTTGTATATGTCCACATGCCATCCAACAACAGATGACACACACTCACATTATAGATAACAACACAAAGCATTTGTTCCTGAGCTTCTGAACATGGCAACTACTGTACAGTCTCTTCTTTTTGAGAGAATGGTGAGCCTTTTCCTCCTCAAGTAACACCCAAGCGTGGCCATCACAGGTAACAGAAAGGTTTTACCACATCACCCAAAGGTAACAGGGAAACAGGAAGTGATCAGGTGGCTTTGTGACCAGAGCCTGGAACTTCTGTTTTTAGTACAGAAGTTTTAAGTACACTGACTGAGACACAGACCACTCTGGTGGTGATTCTGCCCAAGTCAAATGCCTTGCTATCTCACAATGGCTTTCTAATAGAGTAATTTTGGAAATCTATAAAGTCAGGAAAAATTCTGGTTGAAAAGATCAGAATTTTCATTCACTTTAAGAGTAAGGACTTAGGCTTTGAAGCCTAATCCAGGGAAACTGCCTGTCCTTGGGAGATGCTTCTCAGCACAGGGCTCTCGCAGGCTTACATCACTTCCCACCTCTGAACTAAGTACTCCTAAATGTGGAGACCATCTTACTCCTCTTCAAAGCCCCATCAGGCCTTGAAAATGCCACATCCTTAGCTTCTCTAATTGAATGTATTGTAAGTGTTTTTTCCCCAGTTCCAGGGATGGAACCCAGGGCCTCACACATGGTAGGCAGCATTCAACCACTGAGCCACACCATCAGCCCTTTTGTGTTTGTTTGTGTTTACCAAGTTGCCCAGGGTGGCCTGAACTTGTGATCTTCCTGCATCAGCCTCCCAAAGGCTGGGGTTAAAAATGGGCACTGCTATATGTGGCCACTGCCCTGATGTTTCAAGTCCTTCACACGTAAGACCAGTTCTAACCACTGACTTCTCACTATGCTATAACTCTGTAAAAAACAGAAGCAGAAGGTAAATACTTAAAAATACATGCTTTCTTATAAAACCGCCTAATATTTATCAAAACAGCAGAAAAAAGCATTCATGAGACACATATGTAAGTCCTTATATCAAATTAGCTCTTCAGGGTGCCTAATCAGAGAAGTATAAATATGAATGGAAGCAATCTGTGAGTAGTAGATTTTACATTTTTTTAAAAATCGCATCACCACCTAATCATTTTCCCAGGATTTTAAGTGGTTTATTATAAACAGTAATAACACTCATACAGAGTGTTCAGTATATAATAGGAACTATGCTCTAACACCTGAGCAAATCATCTGCTTCAGAGCCTTGGGGAACCCGCGTAAGTCACAGGGGTAGTAAGTGAGGCATACAGAAAACAAATTTCGGAATCATACCACTAATTTGATATACCACCTACAGCTTTACATTTTTTAACTCTAAATTTTAGAAAAAATTAACACTCCTCAAATGCTGTTGTCCCTTCCTTCCTCTGATCAGCACCAGTCCACTCTGCCCTATGCCTCTACTCGCCCTTTCCTCTGTAGCCCGCTCTCTCTGATGGACACCCACGCCAGCCACAGGTCACTTGCACATCTCCTAAGGGTCCGTGAGGCCTCAGATACACGGAAATGCCACACCACCAAGCACACTTGAGAGCACTCAGCCACTCCCAGGCTTTCCCTGGACACCACCCCCACCCCCTCCCTTCATCATTCTGCCTTTACCTCTAAAGTGGAACACACATTAGCATACTTTTCTTCAGCTCATTTACTTACTTAGCTTTACACCTAATTAGGTAAATGCCATCTGAAGGGACTGCATCTGATATTTTCCTGTATTACTCGGAAGGAAACGCACTATCCATAAGGCTGAGAGAGAAAGAGCAAATGTAACAGAGACAAAAGAAGTAATCACTGAAAAGGCCTGGTAGCGAAGTGACAGGAAAGTGGAGCTGCTACCACCCACGCTGCTCTCCTGGGCTCCCACTAGGTCCCCCCAAAGCCACCTGCCTCCTGGCTCACGCAAGACAGGAGAGCAAGGTTTGCTGCACTTTCTAGGCTGCTTACTTCAGTGACAGGGCCTGCTGTACTTGTCATCTAGGGCACGGTACAGGGCCTTCCTCTAACTGTACTGGAGAGACTCATCTGGTCCCACAGCTTTACCTCCGCCTCTACTCGAGTGACCAGGTCCTGACCTAGCCCCATGCAGTCTATGCCTTCTCAGCCTTGCTGCCTGGATGTTCACGAGTATCTCAAACTCCTCAGTCCAAAAGGAATGCAGATCCTCCTGCCCAGCCCCACATCTGCTCCTCACCAGCTGCCTTTATCCACTCCCTTTCCTGTATCTCTTATAGGAAATCCATCAAAAAGGCCCTCAATCCTCCTTTAAAACAAAGCAGTGCCTGGCACATATTAGACACTCAAGGTGTGTTTGTTAACTCCTGAAAAGCCTGTCTCTCCCATCCTTCTCAGCTAGGAAGGAGAGGTGATGGCTCCAGCTTAAGCCACAACCTCATGGTCCAAAGACTTGAATCCAGAATAGCAAAAGGCAAACAAATACTGGGGTTTGGCCTGGTGAAGTTAATGTTCATAAAAAAATGATGAAAAACTTTTTATAAACAAACAAAATGGCAATCCTAAAGAGCAACAACTGTTTCACCTGCAGTGAAGATCAGCACCTCCAAGCTCCTCAGCGGACACCTCCTCGCCAGTGGCTGCTTTAACCTACAGGGACAAGAAGCACCAGTGAGCTGGATGGTGAAATACAAATGCTCTCCAAGGAGCACAGCTCCTATCTGACTGCGGCTCCCTACCTGTCTACACCTACGCTGTCTTCTCCAAGCCAGAACACTATGTTTCTCACTTCAGCCACAGACGAACTGAGTGACTATCATCTCCAGTCAACAGAGGAACAATTTGAACCCCAGTCCCTAAGAACATGTCTGCAGCCCTGGACAGGAAATGGAGCCTGACTCTAGCCAGCTTGCCCCTCCGTGTCGCCTAACACCTGTGGGAAGCCCCTGCAGCTATGTACTCCACCCACTTCCTGGGTCCCTTGTGCCTCTCACCTCAGCTCCATGAGCTGCCCCTGGTACCCCCAGGTCTCCATCCTGATTAACACTGCCTAGAGGTCAAATGGACCATGCTTACACAGCCAACATGTCACCTGCCACACCGCATTTCAGTAACCTGCATGGATCCCTGGCGTCAATCCCACTGTGTGCTCTGTGGGGGAAGGGACTGATTTACCTACCTCTGAATACTCAATTAGGTTTAAAATTCCAGTTACTATCATTGACTCTATGTTACACCTTTCAGGTAGGAAAAAAATTTCCAAGACTGCCTAAATCTGAAAACTAGCAGAATGTAACCAAAAAGAAACTCCAGGTAATAAGTCAAGAATGATTTAATTATAGCCTCACAAATTGCAGTAAGACAAAGAAGGAAAAACTGTTTAATGCTAATGCCAAACTGAATCTTTAAGAATTGTTTATTGATTCCTGTTTCTGTGGGTTGATTAATTTGTTTCTTATTCATGCAGAAGTTTCTATTAGCATAATGAATATTAATCTAAAAAAACAGCATAGAAATGGCCTAGTCACTATATCAAAAGCTCTTTCTTCACATATCTTTCCACAGGGAGAGGTAATTAAATTTTCACCTCCAATTATTCCACCCCCAGAAATCAATTACTGGTTCTCTTCTTTCCAAAAATGCCCATGTAAAATAACATTCAGTCCAGATAATAACTAATTATAAGAGATGTCTTGATATTTAAAGTTGCAAAAAGGAATAAACAACAGATATACTATATTTATTTTCAGGGATCTGACTAACATTAACTGAAAAAATAAGGATTTGTCATCAGTTAATATTTACTGAACACCCACATTATGATACCATAATCATCAGTGCAAGGATGATGAAAGAGAAAAATTAAAACAGCTCATTCTACTAAATAACAAGCTGAGGAGACAGATGAGACAGAAGCCCCAAAACTGATCTTATGACTCCATGTTTTTCAACCACTTTTTAACTCCTCAGAGTAATGGTAACTAAACCACACGTTGGGGGTGAAAACGTAAAGCCCTTCCTCAATTTGTTGGGAAGCAAACATCAGAGTTTAGAATTCTTAAGAGGAAGGGAGGCTGCTTGTTTCTGCACTACATATGGTCTTTTGGAGTCAACCACTGAGGAGGCTCACTCTTCTCTGACTGCAGGCTGTCTGGTTGTTCAAGCGCCTCTAACACAGGAGCTAAACCTGAGTCCACAGCACAGACACCATTACCACCCAGTCCTGGCCACAACCTTCATTCTAAAGCACTTAACATCATCAGTCCAGCATTTTGATGTTGCCTATTTTCCTAGCAGATGTTTTCAAATTTTAGTCATTTCTTTATTCATTTTTCTGATGAAAAATAAACACAAACTACTAAAAATGCTTTAAACTTTACTAGGTACAGTTAAATTTTGAGTGCATTTTCCTCTCATTAACAAATGATAGCTATCACATATAGCAAAGGAAATGTTAACAGGTACAGATAAGAACACATTTAAGATTGCCTCTCCAGCTGGGTCTGTAGCTCAGTACTTGCCCAGCATGTATGAGTCTTTGGTTCAATCTCTAGCATCACAAAAAAAAATGTAGGAGTCACGGCACACACCAGTAATCCTGCGCCTTTTGGAGACTGAGGCAAGAGGACTGCAAGTTCAGGTGCCACCTGGGCAACCTAACAAGACCCTACCTCAAAATTCTGAAAAAATAGGAGGGGAGCTAGTGATATAATTCAGTGTCACAGTCACCTAGGTTTGATTCTCAGTACTACCACCAAGAAACCAAAAACATCCCTCTGCAGCCTTCCCTTCCCTTCAATAAGTTATTTAAAACTAACAAGACTGCTTAGGAAATGCACTTGTTTTATATCAAAGCATTAACTCTTTTTCAATCAACCTGTTTTAGTAAAGTATTCTAAAGCCAAATTTGATTCTCTAACAGACTTCTGAAGTAATATACTTACCATAAAAATCATTTCCCATAACACAATTTGGTGGCTTTTCATGTAATTAACAGGGCTTTGCAACCATCACCACCAGCTCACAACTGAACGCTGCACTCTGTCAAGGGGATATCACATTCTCTCCAGTAATCACTCCCCACTGCTGGCCCTGGCAAACAACTCTGTCTCTAAGAATCTGCCTGCTCAGAAGTGAAGACAGATAGTACCTGTCTGGCCAAGCATGGTGGCACAAGCTTATAATCACAGCACTCTGGGAGGCTGAGGCAAGAGGACTGCAAATTCAATACCATCCTGGGCACCTTAGCAATTTAATGAGAGTCTGTCTCAAAGTAAAAAATAAAAACAGGCTGGGGACACAGCTCTGTGCAAAGGCCCTGAGTTCAATCCTTAGCATAGCAAAATAAGAAATAATCATTTTAAAATATAAAAATAAATCAACTTAGGTATATAATAGTGTGACGGCCCTTCGATTCCCAGTACCCTCCCCCCCCCACACACACACGCACCTGTCCTTTTGTCCCTGGCATAATATCTGGGACACGCTGCAGCTGTCTGGGTGCCATTCCTTTCTATGCCTGAATAAGACTCCACATGTGTGTACAACAGGGCTAACTTCCTCCTCTAACCTTTTCAAGCTGCCCAGGACACTGCAGCACTACTGCCACAGCCAGACACCAGTGAGGCCACCCAGGGTGCCCTCTCAGAAGGGTTCTGTGACCAGGATTTATGCTTCGGGGTCCATCACTCTCTGGAACTCTCAGCCTCTCATACACGTTGGGTCTCTGACACCAGAGTGGACAGTGGGGTGGTCTGTATCCTGCAACTCCTCGGGATGGGTCTGATCTGGGTTGTCCTGGCCTGTGCCTGGCCCTGGCTCTCTTCCTCTTCCTTCTCCCCGTCCCCACTGGCAACAGCCGCCATAGGTGTCTCTAATGGGACACAGAGAGAGTACAGGAAGGACCCTCATCTCAGGGTAGAGCATATACAACCATCATTGCCCCAGGCATGTCCTCCAGCAGGGCACATGTGCAATGGGGTTGGGGTGAGAGTTCTGCAGCCCTAACTCCCTGCCAGTTCACGTGGACCAGAGGCTGCATCTCTGCATGGTGCCAACTCTGCCATGGATGAGGCAGACAGAAGGATGCACTGGCCCAGAGGAAAAGAATATAACAAGGACATCAAAAGAAAACAACCTGATTATGATTTAGGAACACAGAAAAAAGGCAGCACTAAAGAAAGGGAGACACTTATACCTCACTTCCCTTCATGGCACCTTTAAACAATATTGGGTCCCATACTTTTCATTTTGCCCTAGGACTTACAAATAATATTGCTGGCTCTATCAGAGATTCATAAAGATTTCCAGTAGGAGAAATTTAGAGTGTGTGTGTGTGTGTGTGTGTGTGTGTGTGTGTGTGTGTGTGTGTTAGGGGCTGAATCCAGGGTCTTTGCACTCAGCTCTTCTTAGATTATTTTTTTACTGATTACAAGATTTCACTAAGTTGCCCGCACTGGACTCAAACTTGCAATCCTCTTGCCTCAGCCTCCAAGATTGTTGCCACCATGTCTGGATTATTTTTTATGTCTGAAAAATCTTTCTGAATAATTTACACGTTCAAAGGGCTCAAAATAGCCAGGTGTGATGGCGCACACTTATAATCCCAGCTCTCAGGGTGCTGAGGCTCAAGAATCGCTGCAAAATCAGCCAGCCTCGGTTATACAGGAAGTTCAAGCTCGAGGTAGAATACAGGGTGAGGTCCTGTCTCAAAATAACATAAAAAATAAATGAGTACTAAAAATGGACACAGACCTGTCTCCGAAGATACAACAGATATTAAGTACATAAGACTCCAATATCACTCACTCTTCATTAGGGAAATGCTAAACAAAACCACAATGAAGCCTGGGCATGGTACACCCCTATAATCCCAGCACTCAGGTGGGTGAAGCAGAAGGACTGTAAGTTCAAGCCTATACTCAGAAACTATTGATGATCCCGCCTCAAAGGATAAATAAAACGGTCAGGAGATTGGCTTGGTAAAAAGACACTGTGGGGGAGGGAGTAAAGAAAGAGACAGACAGACAGACAGAGACAGAGAGAACAAGCTACACATGTGGGTACATGCCTGTAATACTAGCTGTCTGGGAGGCAGAAATGGATAGCCAGTTCAGAGCTAGCCTGGGCAATTTAATGAGACCTATCTCCATAAAAATTAAAAAGGGTTGAGGATACAACTGAATGGTAGAACATCCCTCAGTTCAATCACTAGTACAAAAAACAGTGACTCCAGTGAGGTAGGATCTTACCCCACCAGGATGGCTATAAACAGACACACAATAATAAGTGCTGGTGAGGAAGTAGGGCATTCAGAACCCTCACATTGCTGGTGACCATGTACATGTGCTCTGGATAGTGGTAACCAGTTACCACATGAACAGAAGTTCTACTAGTATGTATACAATGTACAGAAATGAAAATGGGTCCATACAGAAATGTGTTAAGTAAACATTCACAGCAGACCTACTCACAACATCCAAAAAGAAGAAACAACCCAAATGGCCAGTGTTATGGATTGGAAACTGGTGGTCAACTTAATGCCAGAGGAATTAAATTACCATGGTGCTGAGCATAGATGTTTCACCTGAGGAAGGTTGCCAGCATAAATAGAGATGTGGAAGAGAAAGGCGTTGAGGGGTTGAGGTATTGTGGGTTCTCCTACGTGTTGCTGTTGAGCCGTTGGTTCTCCTGGAGAAGCTCTGGTCCTTATATCAAGCATGGCTCTGAGGGGGACACGTGTGCCACTTAATCTCCAGGATGAACTCGTCACACTGGCTTTCTGGCACATACTCGACTGTGCTTACCATCAGAGGAGCTCGGGGCCTTTGTGTCACTGAGGATGGCTGTGGTACTTTTCAGTACAGTCCTGGTCTTTGTTTTGGGTGTGACTTCTGGACGTCAGCATAGAACCCTCAGCCCACCAGCATAGACTTCCTAGCTTCCACCACTGATTTTTGGGCCTTCCCAGCACGGAACCGTAAAAGAGACTGGCGTGAGTCCTTCTTGTGGGCTCTAGACCTCCAGGTGGACTTGTGGGAGACCTTGTCAGGAGCTCCTGGTCTTCATCTGCACTCATGTGGAACACTGCTCTGCGATTTAGGCCCTTGGTTGAATATCTATGTCTTCGGTGTTGTGGATAGATTTCCTGCATTTTCTTGTGTTAACTCTGGGTGATCATCATAAAATAGTATTATAAACTCCATGTCCTGATTCTAATTGTTCTCACAACGTCTGACTGTAACAGCCAGCAACCAATGAAGAGATACACAAGGCAGCACACCCACACAGTGGAATACTATTCAGTCACAAACACAAATAAAATCATTCTTTAAAATTAGAGTACTACAGAACCCAGCAATCACTCCTGGTTATATACCCAAAAGAAATAAAGTCAGGCTGATTAGACTCTGTTCCATTCTGTATGATAGTATCAAGTCTGAGGGTATAGGCAACTACTTTGAAGGCAATAAGATTCACTAAGATGCCCATTCTGGTTTGACTATTGTCTCCTTTGGAAGTCCTGTAATGTTTACAATGCTTAAGTTTTATTGGTCTTGTTCTCTACTGTTTTGTTCAACTTTATAATATCTAATGAGATAGACAATTCTTTTTAAGGAAACAAGAGACATTATGGTAACCATTGTTGATAACCTTGTACTCTGTTTTTACATCATGTGCTATGTCTATCCTTGGTTTTGACTGACAGCTTTGTTTTGCCATATTGGACTTTATTCTCTCCCAAAAAAAAAAAAAAAAAAGTAATAAGAACTAAGGAGTAATAAAACCCAAAATGTGTAAATTTTGTTGTAAAAAAGAGAAAGAAAAAAAGTGCTCTAAAAGATACAACAGCAAGTGTGTTTAGGGGTGTTAAATAGCTGACCATATTAATGTTTTTGGTTGGATCATTGAACACAACTGTTTGCAGTCTCATTGTTTGAATGTCCACTTTGTATGTTTTGATACTGTGACTTGAGCAACTATCTCTAAGAAGATAATACAACTGGTGATTTCTTACTGTTTTTTTTTTTTTTTGTAGTTCTGTATTACTTGTACCCTTACACCGCTTTGTTTTGTTTTTTCTCTTTTTCCTTTTAAATAAAATTAAAAAAAAAAAAAACCATTGTCCACCAGTATCTCATGCGTACCTACCTACCATGTACCTGGCATGGTACTACAAACTAGAAACACACATTTAAAATACATATAACTATAGTCAGGCTTTAAAAGCTTAGGCCTAACAGTAAATTAATGTGCTTATAATTTAATTATGCATCTATAAGAGATTGGAAGGACATACAAGACACGTAGGCATGATTCTTATTTATGCCTTATTTATGCTCTTATTTATTTTTAAATTTCTACACTAATAAATACTATAATGTGAATATAAAAAAAAAAGAAATGAAGTCAGGGACTCAAACAGATTTCAGACATTCATATTCATAGCATCATTATTCACAATAGCCCCACATATCCAATCATGAATGGGTGGATAAAGAAGATCTGGCACAAACACACAATGGCATATTAGTTAACCTTAAACAAAAAGGAAATTCTGACACTTGAAATCCTGACAGGTGACCCATGCGGACATGATGTCAAGTGACACAGTCAGTCACCAAAGTCTAATATGCACAGTTTCCACTCACAGGGAGTCAGACTCATAGAACCAGGCGAATGCTGGGTGCCAGGGCAGCAGAGGATCAGGGACAATAGTCAGTTCTGGAGATGGTCAGCAGTGGTGGGTGCACAATACTGTAACGCACTTATGTCACAGAACAGCACATTCAGCAATGATTAGAACAGTATATTCTAAATATGTTTTGCCATACTATTTTGTTGGGTACATTTAATTTTGATCAATTCGTTGAGATTATATTCTTACCAGGGGGGGTCCTGCCAAAAAGATGGTCCCCTGCTTGCGCACAATGATGTTCTCATCAGCCATCGCAGGCACGTAGGCGCCACCCGCTGTACAGGAGCCCATGACCACGGCGATCTGGAGGAGAAACGGTGTGAGACAGGGCTCCTTCAGCCAGGAAGGTGCATCAGTGCTCCAGGCTTGGCAACAGGCAGGGAGCGCGTATGCTGTGAAAACACAGTGTCTGGAACAGGGTCCAGACTTTTTGCACGAAAGCATTGAAAGGCTTAGGTCACAAAACACATGGGAAATCATCCTATCATAGGACAGACTGACCAAGAAACCTGAGTTTAACTAGTGGAGAGAAAAAACCTATAGTACACCCAACTTAGTAAAGTAAAATTTATCAAAAGGATAAATTCTAAATCTAATAATAACAGTAAACTTTCTAAAGAGCCTCCACTTGCCTCATAGGAATACTGAAATAAGGTTTCAAGTGGGTGTTACTGTTTGTGTGACTCTAAATATAAGACTTTCTGAATACAAATATTAACATTGTAGTTAAAAATCTTGCTCAAAGGCCCAAGTGAGCAATCTGGGACTATAGACAAGAGGATGGCAAGTTCAAAACCAACCTGGGCAATGTAACAACTTACCAAAACCCTGTCTCAAAAGGGATGGGGTGACTGGAGATGTAACTCAGTGAGTTCAATCCCCAGCACCAGAAGCAAAAGGAAAAAAAAAGAAAAAGCCCAAAGTGGGACCTCATGCCTATATTTCAATCTACTCAAGAGATTGAGGCCGAAAGATTGAGTTCAGGTGCTTAGAACCAGCCTAAGCAAGGTAGTAGGGCCTTGTGTTAAAAAGACAAACCAAAAAGCCTTGCTCAGAAGAATATATACTGTGTTGGAGCTGAGTCACATGTAGAGGGTATTTATACTATTTTCTCTGCTCTTATGTGACCATAATTTTTCCATTAAACAAAGTTTTTAAAAAAAATTCTTGTTCAGAGATTAATACAGCAGAAAGAATTATAAATATGGGTCTGGCTGATGACCCTTACATAGATTTTTTTAAAAATCACTGAAAGAAAAATAAGGCTATAATGGATATTTAAATTATCATGTGAAAGCGATTTTTGCTAATTCCAATATCCCACCAGTTTGCCTCGAAGCTCTGCAAGTGTGCACTCTGAGCAACAGCATGCCGTATGCTGCCACTCAGCCAGCAGCAGACCCAGCATAAGCAAACATCTCTCCATGGGAATGACCATCACAAACAGCATCTGCTCCCTAGCAAAGCTTTTGTGTATATTATTAAAAGTGGCTACAAGATTTCCTGGTCAACCATATTACAGACATGTGTATCACTTATTGCTTTACTTTTTACCCAGAAGTTTTAAAGATAATGCTATGGTTTGTGTCTAAGTGCCCCCCTCCCAAGCTTACTGCAATCATGGAGGCAGCTGAATCTAGCATTTGTCATTGGTTTGTTGTCTAGCACTGGGATTAGCAATGTGAGTGCTGCACCCACTCAGGGGTAGAGCCAGCATCCATCAATATATGGATGGGAAGAAGGCATTTTTTCCCCTCTTTTGCCCTATTTGCTCTAGCTGTTTAAGACTACCTTAAACAGCTGCCCCTCAGGCATGACACCCTGCCTTGAAGTCAGCTGAGTATGGACTGGAACCTCCAAAACAGTAAGAAATAAACCTTTCTTTCCTTCATGTTGGGCATCAAATATTTCGTCAAAACAATGAGAGAGAGTAACCAAGAGAGAATTTGGCACCAGTGGAGTGGGGTCGTTACTGTGACTGTACCTAACCATGTGGTTCAACATCCTTTGGGAATGGCTTGTGGAAAGGTTCAGAGATGTCACCTAAATGTATAGAGCTGGAATAGCTTGGGCTGTTCTGTAAGGAAGATTCTGGCCAGGGCTCAGGAGACCAGGCTGATAGAAAGCCTGCCAGTAAAGACCAGGCTTACAAGGTTTCTGCTGGGAAGGACTGCATTTATTATTGAACTCCACATGATGTGTGTTATGGCTTGGCAGAACGTTTTGTCTGAATTTTGCTCATGCCCAGAGACTTTGCCTGAGATGGAGATTAAGGGCCACAGACTGATTAACCTGACAAAAGAAATCTCAGGCAGTTAAATATTGAGGCAGTGGCATGGCTATTGTTGGGGGCTTTTAACCAGATTTATGTTGCGAATCAAGAGCAAAGAGCCCAGTATGGTGATTTAAAATGTGAGTTTGGCCAGAAAGAAAGCTCTAGTAAAGCTGTGGACTATAAAGACAGAGTTGAGCTCTCCACTGCTGAGAAGGAACAGAGAAATAAAAAAGATGGCCTGGGAGTATCATGGGAAGCAGGGGGTCTCCATCCTTTGCAGTCTCAAAACTGCAAAACTGAAAGCCTTTGCTCAGAGGAGAAATGTTCCAGAGTGGTGGTAGAGGCCACCACTGTAAGAGGTTCCAAAATGGAGGTTGCTGCACCAGGTGTCAGAATGGCAGCAACATTGAGAAGCTGTTCCTCACAATCAGGTTGAGAGTGCTCAGCAATCCAGGCTCTCAACCCCTACAGCCAAGACAGGAAAGCCTGGCTATCCTCCAGCTGGCAGCAGATCTTGGCAGCGTCCACATGGCATTAGTGAATTTATGAGTTCTGAGGTTAAAAAGGCTTCTACCCCAATTTTAGAGGGCCAGGGGGCCAGGCAGTTTGCCCCTCAGAAAGCAGTATGTGAAGCTATGAGTGTGAAGCCAAAGGTACATTGGAGAACCCAGAAGTTTGAAAAAGCCAGGAGTGAGGATCATCTAAGGAAAGCAGCAAGGATTGAGCAGAACAGGCCTAGGCGAGAAGCTGTGGGAGCTAAAACCCCTGGAAGTGCCATAGAGATACAGTCACTCAAGCCTTGTGGAGTTCACAACCAGATTGCTTCAGATGCTAAGTGTGGAACTCCAGGACTTAATGTTTGCCCAGCTGGATTTTGGACTTCCTTTGGTTCTAATCCTTTGTATCTTGCTTGTACTCTTTGGACTGGTAATGTTTATCTCGTACCATTGTATGTTGGAAGTGTTTAACTTTGTTTTCATTTGTACAGGGGCTTGCAGCTAAAAGCTTGCCACAGATCTTGGCAGAGACTTGGGACTTGGACTTTTTAGCAATGCTAAAACTGTTAGGATTTTGGCAACTCTTGGAGATGGACTAAATGTCTTCTGCATAAAGGATGTACATAGTCTTTGGGGGCCAGGGGTGGAATGTTATGGTTTGTGTCTAGGTGGCCCCCAGCCTCACGTAATCATGGAGGCAGCTGAATCTAGCCTTGGTGATTGGCTTGTTGTCAAGCTGGCATTAGCAATGTGAATACTGCACCCGCCTGGGGAGGAACCAACATACAATATAAGGGTGAGAAGAAGGCATATTGTTTTTGCTCTTTTGCCCTTTCTGCTCTTGTCATTTGCGGCCACCATGAGTGATTACCCCATAGCTATGCCACCCTGCCTTGGAGCCAGCTGAGTATGGACTGAAACCTCTAAAACTGTAAGATAAACTTTTCCTTCCTTAATTTTGGCATCAATTATTTTGTCTCAGCAACAAGAGTAAAGAAACCAAGACAGATATCTATAACTACAAAAACTCTTGTCCATGCACACAAGGAAATGCTCATCATAGCATGTTTATAAAAATAAAAAGATGCAAATAATTAGCATTTCCATCAATACAACATTGGACAAGTTGTGAGTGGACAAGTAAATCTTTAAATGGATAATTTCTTTAAAATCTGAGGCACAAGTAACAAAATGAAATGCCAACTTAATATCCCCTGGCAAGGGGCCCCTGAGTGTTCTATCCTACTGCTTTGTGTACTTTCTGAATGTTTAGAATACTCTATGGTTTTTGAAGATAATAATATGCAATATTACAGCCATTTAAAATCATCATTTTGAAAGCCTTTATTATTGTTTTGGGGGTTTTTGTTGTTCTTATAGTTGCAGTTTGTATATCTCTTGGGTTTTTTTTTGTTTTTGTTTTTTTTTTCTTTTCTGTGTTTTTCTCTTTAAAATAAAAACAAAATATTCTGTGGGCTGGGCATGGTGGTGCATGCCTGTAACCTCAGCACTCAGGAGGTTGAAGCAGGAGGATCACTGAGTTTGAAGCCAGCCTGGGCCGCATAAGTGAGTTCAAGGCCAGCCTGCACTATACTGTGAGACTCTGTCTCAAAAATAAAATAAACAAAATAAAATCAAGTACTCTATAGGTCTTTTTTAAAAGATTCCACAGAAAGCACAGAACACAATTTCACCTTATCATCCTGCTCTCTGTACTAGAACACCAGGTTTGGTTCAAATTATTTCCATACCCAAAAAATTAAAGTGAAGGAACTTGAATCACTAGCAAAGGTAGAAAAAATTAAGGGGTAATGCATACATGTGCCAGGTCTTCCTATGAATGTAATCATTATATACTGCAAATGGGTAGTAAAATGTTTTAAAAAGTAAGAAAGAAAGGATGAAACAGAAATAACAAGTGAGAGAGACAGAAGCAAGCAAGCAGAGAGGGTATAGCGTTAACTGCTGGGAAGTTAACATGTGCTCTGTGGTAACGTCCACCACTCTTGTGTCTGCTATCATCACCTTCCTTTATGATGACCTCTACTGTTATGTAATCACACATGAGCACCTGCACCAAATGGTAAATGATTTTTACCATTTTACCCTCTGTCCAAGTCCACAGCTCTCACTCTTGACAGTCATTCATGATTCTGGCAATGGTGTTAGCTGGGTCCTACTGCTAGCCCAGAACTTTCTACACACTCACAGGAGTGCAGACAGAGGCAGCTGTGAAAGACAGGGAAGGGGTATATCATCCTCAAGGAGCAGAACTGGAACCGAGTCAGGTGTGAAGATGCAGGCCTGTGTGTCTGCTCGTTTCCTGTCCGTAACCTTCACACTGTCACTACTTAAGTGTTGCAGATGTAATCAAGCTTCTTTTTCTTCTTAGTTGTTTTAAACTGACCTGTATTTGTAATGCACAATGACTGCATTCATCTTGGGGAATTGATACACATGCATATTACCACATTTGATCATTTTTACCTCCCCTCTCAGTCTTCCCCTCTCCCCTCATTCCTTTGATACTA